AGTTTCTTGTCATAGTTTAGTTTTGTAATTTTTGCTAAGTCAACATCATAATAAATGCCTAAAAGTTTAAAGTTTGTTGTCCATTGAAATTTCAGATCAGGGCAGAGTCTATCCTCAGAATACTTCTTACTTCCAATCCACACAATTTGAGTTTTTGACTGGTTGATTTTGAGACCTGACATTTTATAAAATTCTTCTAATACTAGCATTGTAGCCTTTAGTGATTTTTCAGAGCCGTCAAGAATTATCATTGTATCATCTGCATATTGTGACATTAAATACTCTGTATCATTAATCTTAATTCCTTTGATATTCTCATTATTTCTTATTTTAATAGACAGTATCTCAGCACATAAGAGAAATATATAAGGAGAAATTGGGTCACCCTGTCTACAGCCCCGTCCTAACTTGAAGAAGTTAGATAAAATTCCTGCTTGTGACACACAGGAAACTATATTATTTTGGAAAATTTTTATCCAGTTACAAAAACTTGGTCCAAAGTTAAAAAATTCCAATGTTTTTTGAATAAATGTCCATGACACAGAGTCGAAGGCTTTCTCAAAATCTATCATGACTAATGTTCCAGGAATATCATGCAATTCTGTGTAGTGCATCAGATCGTATACAAGACGTGTATTCTCTCCGATGTATCTCCCAGGTATGAAACCTGTTTGATCTGAACTAACTATTTTGGTTAAAACTTGTTTTAATCTGTTTGCTATACATCCTGATCCAATTTTATAAATAATGTTTAGCAGTGATATTGGTCTCCAATTGCTGAGATGAAATTTACTTTTTCCTTCTTTTGGTATGCAAGTAATTATTCCTTGCTTTTGTGTAGAAGAAAATTCGCCTATTTCATAACCATAATTCAAAGAGCGTACTACAAAATGACCCAAATTTCTCCAAAATACTTTAAAAAATTCTGCTGTGAAGCCATCACTACCCGGACTTTTGTTATTAGACATTGCCTTTAATACTGATAAGGCTTCACTATATGAAATAACACCTTCCAACTGCAAACGTTCAGTATCATCTAATTTAGGTACATTACATTCTTCAAGGGATTCTTTAAGATTCAAATCAACATTCTCTAATATTTGAACTGAGTATAATGATTTGTAAAATTTTTCAACTTCTTCTAGAATTTCAGACTGCTTTGTTATTTCCCTTTCCTCATTATTTTCACTTTTAATAATTTTTGGTATTATCTTATTTGTAAAATGTCTATTTTCAAGATTTAAAAAATAACTTGTTGGTTTTTCCCCTTCACTAGTCCATTTTGCCCTTGACCTTATCATATTCCCCATAAGCTTGTGTTGCCTTATTGATTCTAATGCTTTTTTCTTCTCAACAATACTAGTGACATTGTTGTCATAATTTTTTTCCAGTTCAGTAATTTCATCAATTAGGTCTTTCTCACTTTTTACCCTCTCCTTTTTGATATAACTTGCATATGAAATTGTTTTTGCCCTTATCTCCATTAGGAGTGTCTCTAAAAATAATTGGTCATTTACAGTAAATTGTATTTCAGAATTGAATATTTCCTTAATGCTGGCTTCATTGTAAACCAGCAATGCATATTGTGTTTTAACATGATCAATAACATCATTTATGATTTCAATATACTTTGGGTCCTTTAAAAGAGAACTATTAAATTTCCATAAACCTTTCCCATGTAAGAAATCATTAAACTTAAGGGTCAGTAAAACTGGTGAATGGTCTGATCTATAACTTGCAAGAATATCACAATTTTGTATATCAGTCAACAATGAGTTGGATACAAGAGCAAAGTCTAAACGTGCTTGTTTCAAAGGGTTTGGTTTCCTCCAAGTAAATCTTTTTGCTTCTGGGTGGAACTCTCTATAAATATCTATTAAATTATGACTATCTATTTGTTCAAGTAATTTCTTTCTGGCTTTTGGGTTATTAATATGTAAATAATTGAAATAATCTTTGTTTGGGTCCAATACTAAATTAAAATCACCAACAATAATAACTTCATTGTCAAATTTGGTTATTAACTCTGACAAATTCTCATAGAATTCTGGAGAATCTTCATTTGGTCCATATATGCATATCAGACTTATTTTCCTGTTTTCAACTGTTAAGTTCAATGCAAGAAAATTGCCAGAATCATCTAAGATTTGATCATGGACTACAAAGTCAAAATTATTGTTAAATAAAATGGCTATTCCTCTAGCTTTTGAAGTGTATGAGCTAAAACGAGCTTCATAACCCCATTCATTTCTTATATTTTGTTCCATTTCATCAGTAAAATGTGTATCACTCAAGCATAGAATATTACACTTCTGTTGTCGGAAGTACTGAAAAACATCTTTTCTTTTTTTCGTATCGTTCAATCCCTGGCAGTTAGTAGATATTATTTTAATTTCTGACATATTTCATTTTCAAAAAACAATTGATTTAAAAGGCAATTTTTCCCCTGTGTTGACAATATACACCCCTCATCATCCGCGAGTAGATTGTTGGTTAGAAA